TAGTCAGAGTAACTGAGGGAAAAAGTAATTCGCTGTCCACTTGGGGACAGATACGCTAGAGCAAAAGGAAGAGCAAGAGAATCTCCATGCCATCTAGAACTTTTGACTCACAATTCTTGTGGTCTATTTCATGTTCCTGTTGCTGAAACAAACAAAAAAAGATGACCAGTGCCTAGTCTATATTCACCAGGCACTATGTTGCAGATTTTTCCTCAGGACCTGGCCAGAGATGCCCCTGTCAGCCTGTTCTCTGCAGAGTTCTCTGTGCATTCTTGCTTCTCCATCAAATGGTACCCTGTTAAACATGAGTCATTTAAGTGGGTCAGTACTAAGGTTTTGAACTTAGAGACTCACACTTGCCAGGCAACTGCTCTACCTCTGAGCCCTGCCTCCAGGCTTTCTTGTATGCTGGTTATTTGGAGATAGAGTCTTCTGTGTTGCCCAGAGCACATATGTAAACTCCAATCTCCTTATGTTACATTTTCCATCCTGGCTGAAATGATGCTCATACCACCACACTCAACTTTCTTCTTTTGAAATGGAGTCTTACCAACATACCCAGGCTGGGCTGAAATCGTGGTTCTCTTGATCTTATCACCCCATGTAGCTAGGATGATAGGCACAAGACACAGCATCCTGTTGTTTGCTAAAAAAGAGGTCTCAAATGTATGCTTGAGCTGCCCAGAACTGCAGTTCTCCAGCTTCCAGCCTCCCAAGTGCTAGGATTACAAGTGGGAGCCACCAGCAGCTTTATGACAGTTAACTTTCAACACTTAGCTCTCTTTCTTTATGAAACTATATAAACTGTGACAAGCCAGAACTATATAAACTACATGCAAAGTTGAAAATACCTCTCTATCTGTTTCTTACGTCTGTTCAGCTGTTTCTCGTCCATTCAAGTTGTTATAATCAAAATAGCTGGGGTCAGGCACTTATAAACCACACGAGCTCTTTTCCTACAATTTTGGAGGTGCCAGCAAGTTCAGTGTCTGGTGAGGCCCCACCTTTTGGTCCACAGTTAGCCATCTTTTCTGTGTGTCTTCAAATGGCCAAAAGGACAAAGTAACTCTCTGGAGTCTCTTTTAGAAGGGCACTAACTTCTTTGATAAGGATCCCATTCTGATATTCTAATAACCTCCCAAGTACCATTTTATTTCAACGTGTAAATTGTGGGATGCAACAATTCAGTCCATGACAAGCTAAATCAACAGACATTTACTAATGTTACCTAATCTTGCCAAGTCCTCTGAAAGTTCATGGGGATATGAGTTCATGAGTAAGACCTGGTCCCTAAGGATCAAACAATCTGGAGCCTTGGCTTTCTAGTAAAATGAATGCTGAGGTTTCCTACCAAATGACTCCAGCTCTTCTCAAGTGAAGTAATAGGTATGCTACATTGTGGCTTTGACTAAACCAGAGTAGCCAGAAATGCCAGGGAATACAAGAGTTTCTACTGGAGGATTCCAGGAGCAAAGAAGGGGAAAGTGACAAGGACAGTCCAGAGGCCTTGTTCTATATTTTTTTGGGGGGGTCCTGTTGTGGGCCTGAACTCTGGACCTGGGCGCTGTCCCTTAGCTCTTCAGCTCAAGGCTAGCACTTTACCACTTGAGCCACAGCGCCACTTCCGGGTTTTTTCTTTTTGCTTATGTGGTGCTGAGGAATCGAACCCAGGGCCTCAGGCATGCAAGGCAAGCGCTCTACCACTGAGCCACCTTCCCAGTCCTTGTTCTATATTTTAAAATGCTCATCTGGCTGACTAGATACAGGGAGCTCATGCAGTTGTGCTTACCTGTTGTTTATTTTGCACACTGAAGTCCCCTCCACTCTAGCAAGATTCCAATGTGAACTTCTGTGCTGGAGACAGCAGAAGCTGTGAGAGTGGAGGAGAGCTATCACAAATGAGGGAAAAACAGTTGTCTTGCATGTGAGTCGCGTCAAAGAGAACTTTCCTTTCATCCTCAGGTAGTACTGGAGAAATCCTTCATAGAGACATGAGATTAAAATTTTATCTGATGGGAATCTGCTTTACTAGCTACTTACCTTCATTTATCTGGGAAAATGCCATTATTAATATGTACATTGGCATATAAGAAGCTCAAGCCCCAAATCCAATACATATTGCTATATTTTCTTTCATCTATTCTAATATTTGCCCTCAGAAATGACATCTTCCCAAACTAGTAAGGGGCCTCAACTGATGATGCTAAAATCACCCTTCCTTCTCTTGCAATTGGTTTTATTCTTCAAGAAATTAGAAATGGGTGGATTGGAACAAGGTTTAAGTAGTAGAATGACTAGAAAACATGAAGTCTCGAGCTCACTTCCCAGTACTGGCAGAAGAAAGGGAAGGAGAGAAAAAGAGGTGAAGGAGGAGAAGGAGAAAGAGAAAAATGAGGAGGAGAGAGGGAGAAGGAAGAGAAAGAAAGAGGAAGAGGAGGGGAAAAAACAAAGAGATCCATGACTCACCAGTTCAAGACATTCTATGGAAATGTAAAAGGATTCAGTATTTCAACCACCTCTATATTTATTTTTTTCCTCTTTTTCTTCTAGTGGAAACTGTGTAGTCACTTAGGAATGAAGTTTATGGATATGGTGAGGGGGGCAAGGAAGATTTTCTATAACACTAGAATCATCTTTAACTTTTCTCATTGTAATCCTCCATTACTCTCAGAATCAGAAATGCTAGCTGTGTACCCTATGGTTCACATCTGCAACCCTAGCTAGTCAAGACACTAAGGCTTAGAGGACCACCATTCAAAATCAGTCCAGGCAGGATAGTCTGTGAGATTTTGAAAAAAGCTGTATTGAAGGTATAGCCAAAGTGGTAGAACCCCAGTACTGCACACACACACACACACACACACACACACACACACACACACACACACACAATTAGTAATTCTATCTTTCCATCTTTTCCACCTCTGCATGCCAGATTTTTTTTTTTTTTGGTCAGTCATGGAGCTTGAACTCTGGGCCTGAATGCTGTCCCTCAGCTCTTCAGCTCAAGGCTAGTGCTCTAACACTTGAGCCACTGTGCCACTTCCAGTTTTCTGAATGGTTTATTGGAGATAAGAGTCTCATGGACTTTCTTGCCTGGGCTGGCTTTGAACTGCAATCCTCATATCTCAGCCTCCTGTGTAGCTAGGATTACAGGCGTGAGCCACTGGAGCCTATGCATGCCAGATTTTTAATTAACTTACACTTACTTCATCACACTAAATAAAAACTAATTGTCCTAATTGCTAATAGTCTTCAGAGTACTTGTTTTTATCTAGAAGGTATGTGGCCCTGAATAGATGACACAATTCTCAGTTTGGAAATGCAGATACATACAAAAGAATTTTCCCCTCCAAGTCCAAATCCTGCTCAGCTCATCCCACAAAGTGATACTGTGATAATTCTGTTTTCTCCCTCCCTGTATTGCCCTTCTGTAATATAAATCTGACTACTTGCTCAAATATGAGGAAGGAAGAAGGGATAAATTAACTTTCTGTAAATAATATCCAACTAGATAACCACAGACCCAACTTCTAAAACATTTTCAGTAGCACATGTGCCAGATAATGTGTGGAATGTCAGAATCAAATAACTTTAGATTACTATTGACTCTCTGTTGATGGCATTACAAAGTTTCTTCAAAACTAGTAATCCTGACAGTTGGCAGAGGTTTGAGGCTTTGAGCATGTCTGACAGTTGTGTTACAGAATGCTATGAAAGATGTCCCATGTTCTATTGGGAGCCTAGTTAGCAGATTTAGCTGACACATTTGGAGAGCGGATTCATGTCCATGCTGACTGGCTGTGATGTTGATGTAGCCATCAGGGAATTTCCAGAAAAGGAAAACAGCTTGTGGCATTTGAGCAGAGCTATTAATTGGTACCATTTAGCATGGGATGACCAGGAGCAAGGTTTCATCATGGTGGCAGAACTGTGTTCTTTAACACCTTTCAGCTGTTCTATCCCACCCAATCAGCAGTGGAGTTTTTAAATTTTAAGAGTGAGTAGTATCCCATATAACTATCACTAAAGTCCATTGGCCTTTCTTGCCAGGTTCTAGCTAAATTCTTCCTGCTGATCAACTTCTTGTTTCTTTCTACTATCTCTTTCCTCTTATTCTCCTTCCTCCCTCCCATGTTTTTATTCATTTCAATTTCTTTAAGAGAAAGGTCATTTACTTAGTTACACTCCACATAAGAAGAGGTTAAGTAAGCATGCCTGTCTTAATATTTCTTTACTAGAATAGACATATCCAACTTGCTATAAATGGCCTCTATGTCTAATCCCAGAGCATCCTACTTGTAGCTCTGGGATCCATGGTCTGTAACAAAGCTCACCATGCATCTACAGCACATTCTCATAGATCTACATAGTGACCTGAAGGCCTCAATGATGACAGAAACTACAGCTGAAAAGAATCCCATCCAATCTGAACATGCATGATGCTTTCAAAAAGGAAGCCATTTCTCTCCTCATAACCACCTTAGTGTAAGGTCAAACTGGTGATGCCAGTTCTTTCAATCACATCCCCTCCGAGTACCCTTCCCTCCTCCTAGACTTTGTTCTAAGCCTTCCACCAATAACCAACATGTATGCTTGTATAAACACTCTTGTGATCAGTACAGCCTTGAAGTGAGACTTGTGAAAGCCCCCCAGCTCCCTGAAAGATGGAGGCAGAGGTGTTTTCCATGGGATTTACTTAGGTATCATAGCGTTATGCAGCTCCTTTCTCTTCCAGCTCCATTTTCCAGTCTTTTACCAGTGTTTTCTGGGAACACTTGATTACTTTCACATATTTTTGGTTGTTGTTGTTGTTGTTGGGTTGGGTTTTTGTCTTGAGGTCTACTTTTATGGACTCTGACCAGCTAGCAAAGCACATTGTCAAATTATTGAAAAAGCACGTGGGTTTATTTCTTTAAAAAGGAGAAATGAAGCAATCTGCTGAATATATTAGATGTCAACGAAACAATGGTGAGAACTCTTTTTCTTTCTTTTTTCAGGAAGAGAATTTGAAGGAGAAGAAGAATATCTGGAGATTCTGGGCATCACCAGGGAGCAGTCAGGCAAATATGAGTGCAAAGCTGCCAACGAAGTCTCCTCGGCGGATGTCAAACAAGTCAAGGTCACTGTGAACTGTGAGTATGGCAGCAGATTGTCCATGCCCGGGGCATACCTCCACCTCCAGAGAGCTCGCAGATTCCATTAGCAAAAGAGCATCGCATAACAAGCAGATGTTCTTCTGGTCAGGGCTGCTCATTTATACCTTGCACACCTCCAAGGGCAGGACTTGGCCTTTGAATTTGATAAATCAACTCTACCAATTCTAAATATAACCCATAATCCATTTAACAATAGCCTCTGTCTTTTTACCCCAGCTGCAAAAATTAAGAGAAGAGATCAGACAGCGTTAGCACTTGTGCAGTCATTGTTGTTGTAAGGGGAGATGGGGGGCGGGGGGGGGGGGGGGCGGGAGGAACCAAGGTCATATTACTTTGGGAAAAGCACCAACTCATAGAGGCATTGGCTGGGATTTCTATCTTAATGCACTGCTTGTCAGCCGGTAATATCCCAAGATTGTATTTTATCAGCTGCTATTTAACTAATTGGCTTTGGGAACAAATTCAAACCCTTGGGGGTCAGATAACATGATGGCTACAGAGGATGCCTGATAAGTTAATTTTAGCTATCTGTTTGTCCTAAGTTTGGGCATCAGAAAGGAAGATTTCACTAAGATGCATCGTAAGCGGGCATACTTTGAACTTGTCAGATGAAAGGATCCTTAGATGTAGTTCAAAACTGGGAGGGAGGAAGGATCTATAAGATGTATGTCACCCAGCAAAGGAATAAAGAGAATTTTGTTTACCTTAGTCAGTTAGGAGTATCTTTCTATGTCATTCAAATTCTCCTTACCAGGGTACACAACCTTGGTCAGTGACAGGGTTAAGTGGATATCCTAGCCATTCTTATCCGTTCTATGCACTTCATATGTATGCATACCACACCAAATACACATGCACACATATCCTACAAATACAAGCATACACATGTACGTGTATACCCACAGGCACAAATATCTTATGCTACATTTGAAAGGAAGTGTTAGGCCATGATGTGTTTTATGTCCTACATTTACTGAGCTAGAGAATATATACACACACTCTTCTCAACAAACTGGGCAAGGCAGATAAAATCAGCTTCATTTCAACGTTTGAGAAAGGGAACCTCAAGGAATAAAAATTGCCTATCCTAAAGCAACACAGAAATGTAATGCAAGAAAAGGGCTTAATCCAGATCTATTTGATTCTAAAGCCCAGGCACTCAGGAGAAGGAAGGAATTTTTCAATTCTTTGTACCTACTGTGTGAAACATTCAATTGACATTCACACATGTTATTTATAGGCATAAGTTATAGCTCAAATGGTAAAGTACCTGCCTAGCAAATATGGGCCCTTCGGTTCAAACTATTGTACTACCAAAAACCAAACCAAACAACTTTAAAACAAAACTATATATATATATATATATATATATATATGTGTATATGTATATGTATACATATATGTATACATATATATATACATATATATATACATATATATGTGTGTGTATATACGTATACATATACATATATATATGTGAGTGATATTTAGTCACCACAGTAAACCTATAAGATAAATAGGCATCACTAGTCTTTAATTGAAAAATTAAGAAGTAATGCTGTAATGTTTTAGTTAGGAATCTTGCCTAAGGTGGCTCCACTTAAGTTGGAAAACCCCATTCCCTGGCACATGCCCAGCATTCTGCCTCCTAAAACAGGAAAAGTGAAATTTCCTTCATCTGAGAAATCCAACAGACATGGCTGTACACGTTGATGAGCCACATTTCCAAGAGCAAGAGGCTGAATTTGATGAGCTGTGGACTGCTTTTATCCCTAGCTGTCTCCACATTTTTTTTTTAGTAATAGAATTTTGAAATGTCAGTATTACTATTCTTTTCCAGTACTGGGTGTGTTTCAAAGACACATTAATGATCTCAATGTTATAAAATGCTTTAGGTCCTTTTTTTCACATGAAAGGCAGTTTCTCTGGCTGTTTATATAAGTTTATAATTAGGTTAGTTAGCTCCTTTTATGTACACATAACCAGGCCCTCATCTTCCACCTCTTTTCCTGGCTTTTGGAGTCAAGATTTAATTTTCTCTTAATTGACCTTCAACTTAATTAGATTTTTGAAAGTCCAATCATGTAGTAAATAGAAAATATTTATGCTTCCATTGTATGAAACTTCAAAGTGGTCTGGATTGCAGATGGCTCCCAAGATCAAAGCTAGCTGCCTGGGCCCTATTATTATTGGAGCAATTAGTCTGACATTGCTCCTTCTTCAATGTCCCCAAAGTGTAATTTAGAATAGAGAAAATACTGATAATTTTTTTAAAAGACTTTCATGAAAATGTGAATTTTTGCTAGTGAGGAGTGAATCACAGAATAATACAGACAGAACCTGAAGATTCTATAAAAGACATCTTGTGGCAAATTATATAGAAGCTGTAATAAAAGTTAATCAAACACTCAGTATGTCCTGAGCACTAGGACTTAGAAATATCTAGTGTTCCAAAAATTGCTCAGCAAATGTTTACTCTAGGAAGAGGTAGAAATACGCAGATAAACTTGGTCCTTCAAACTTTTAAAATGGTACTGGTTACAAATCAGGAAGCATGTTCTAATAGCAATTTCCTTTAGAATGGTCTTTTATTTATCTCAAACTGCATAAACTATGTTTATGCTTCTCAACACAATTACTCTGTTCAAAAAAGTCATCTTTCCTAAATCTAGTCATACTGAGTAAATGATGTCCCCCAAAATGATTTAAGAAAGTAAGTCTGCCTTGTAAGATCTGAGACACAGAGAAATATTCAAGATCATTTTTATGACTTTATTTAATCTTATGGACTAGATGAATGCTCTGTTGTCTAACCTGATTTCTCTTCATTTTCAAAAGAGAAGCTTTAGAGTTAAATAAGGGGGAACAGACCTAAGGATCTCTCAAGAGAGAAATACTAAAGCTAGAAACCAGTGATTCACACCTCTAATTCTGGCTATTCCTCAAGGGGCTGAGGTCTGAGGATTGAGATTTGAAGCCAGAGCTGGACAGGAAAGTTTGTGAGACTCTTACCTCCAATTAACCACTGAAAACAAAAACAAAACAAAACTGTGGCTCAAGTTTTAGAGCACCAGCCTTGAGCAAAAATACCTAAGGCAAAAAAGCTAACCATTCAGGCCCTGAGTTCAAGCTCTAGTACAAGTAATACTAATGATAATAATAAATATTAAAAATAGAAATCCTAGCACAAGTATCTGCCCACCACTGAATTAATTCAGTTACCCAGTTGCTACTAGATGTTTGCTACAGGACACAGAGAGGCTAGCTTGGGAAGGAAGAGAGATATAACAATTTCTCCACCCGAGCTTGCAAGCTGGGTTCTACATCCTCTCCTTAGAACTTCTCTTGCATAACACATTTCTATGGCAGGTCTACAGCATTCTATGTTGCCACTTTATTTGCAAAAATCTATTTTCTACATGGTAGAAATGATAGTAGGGAGCTTCAGATTTTTATAGAAAGCTAAAATAATAGTGGCTCAAAATATTTTCCATTGAATCAGCTTAGTGAATTTATGAAATTGGACTTTTCACTTCCTGTATCTTCTCCACAACTGCAGCTTCTAAGTTCCTGTGGAAAGGAGCCCTAGGTCCCTCCCAGGCAGCTCCCCAGTATAATCCTCAGCTCCAGGTCCCCAAGTGTATTCAAAATGTCTATTCAAGAGTTTGCTTTCCTTCAGTGTCCATAATCCCCAAGTTCATATCTAGCATGCAGTAACCACTAAATAAACGCAGGTTATTTTATTTCTCTTCCTTGATTGAACTTTTTTTTCTCCTATTGCTGGAAAATTTCTCCTTAGAAGCTGCCTTCAGCACTCAAGCCTACCCCATCTTGAGTGGACAAGCTAATCTGTCTACTTTCTCATAACTACTTCTCCAAATAGGCTTTGTTGCTGTCATGCTTTTACAACTTTTTCTTCCTCTCCTTATCTCCCTTTGCACTCAACTCTGAGTTCACAGTAATGGATGCAGACAACAGAGCCAGCAGAAGTAGTCAGGGGAGGGGGGCATTTCTACAGCCCAGCCTTGTATGGCTAGTCCCTGAGTCAGGGGAAGCGGAGATCACTGTGGCATGTTCACCTGGGACTGGGGGCACAGGTAATCGCCATGATACACCTGCATTTTAACTGCACTCTTCAGAGCTTTCATTCAAAATCATCTCATGGGGAAGCTTTAGGAAAACAGCCGCTCAATATGGAATGAGGCTGAAGAGTAAACACCCTGTCTGTGGATTCATGGCTCTGCAGCTCCATCCCCATGCTGACCATAGGTTATCCTTGCATTTGGGAAGGGATCAGGAAACACACAAGAAATACACACAGTAAAACCTGGAGGTTAAAGAGCTATTGTGCCAGCTTTGGGAACATGAATCAGAGTACCCACATTTCCTGTGACAATTTTTCCATGATTTTCTGAATGCCATGTCTACCCCCAGAGATTTCACAATCACTTAGTCCTTACTTTAACGGTGGTCCACCAATCGGTCTTCTCTAAACAAGGTCAGCCTCAAACTGTTTAATAATTTAGTGTGGCATTGCTAGTACCTCTTCCTATGTCTTGAAACTCTCTGGGAACAATGCCTTTTATGGTGTCTGCACCCACTGCCTCTGCTTCCTTGGTACACCACTACTCCCTAATCCTGGAAGAAAATTGATATTACTTCAATACAGAGAAGTAAAGCACTTTCTGTGGGCACTATCCACCACAAAGTCAAATAATCTGTGAGTGGAAGACTCAGGACTCTAACCCAGGTCTAACTCCAAAGCCCTCTTTATTTTTTATGTGAATGATAGGGGATTTTTTTAAGAAAGAGAACAAGTGTGAAGGCATACTACTGTAATCCTACTACATGGGAGGTGAAGATGAGGAAGATTGAGTTTGAGGTCAGATTGAGCCAAGAATTTAGAAAGAAACCCCCCACACTTCAACCAACAAGCTAAGTGCAGTTGAAGACTATTTGTAACACAAATAATGAAAAGCATACATAAATGGATTTCAGTATAAGGATAGCCATGGATGAAAACTTGGGACCATATCTGAAAAAAGTAACAAAAGCAAAGTTAGGGCTGGAATCATAGAACAAGTAATGGAAAGTGTTCCAAATAAGCATGAAGTCCTGAGTTCAAACCAGTACCATCAAATTAAATGAATATGTAAAGGAATATGCAAGTATAGTCATGTTAGGTATTGAAAGTACTCTCAAAAGTATGCTTTCATTTGCAAAGCTCTATTTTGCTAGGTAGGCAGATGCTATCATCTACACTCACGTGAGCTGCTGCAGGAGAGCATGTCTAGATTACACAACTCTAACACATCTTAGATGCAAGATGGAAGCAGCCTGCATCTGCTCACTCCTAATGTAGAATTCTATCCACTATGTCATTTCATGTTGTGAAGTATTGGTACCTTGCAAAGAACAGGGATCCATCACGTCTGACCATTCACGCTATCAATCACACTTTCCTTTATTGTAATCCACTGCTGTCTAAAAGAATTCTTTCAAATGGAATTATCAGAGCACAGAGATTCAATAGATAACTTGGTAAATCTGGGTACAAATTTACTCTCCCTCCCCATCGAGGTCAGGGTCATTTGGACAAATCACTACCCCTCTGCATAGCTGTCTTCTCATTCATGAGATAAAGTTAAAACTTTATCTTCCAGGGATATTACTTTGTAAAGAGAATACCTCACCCTCAGAGAATGCTAACACATGCCTACAATGCCTATAAACTGCATCATTTGTTCAAATTTTATTCTTTGGAACAATTACTTCCAATATGAGGAAGATTAAATGCATAACATTTTGTTTCCTAGGTCACTTCTATTGTTAGCCTAGCCATTCTAATGGAAAGTCTTGTAATTGCAATGTAAGAATAAGAAAGCCCCTTATTAATATTTTCAGAACCTGGAACTTTGAAGTAATAAAATCTCAAAGAGTCCTTTGACAATTAGAAGGTTTTCCAAAGTCATATACAGCATAACAATGGATCTGTCTATGCAGTATTCTTTTTAATAAGGTGATGCTTTTATTATAATCATATTGTGAGCAAGGACATGTATTATTTTAACTACAGTAGGCATACTGCCTTTTGAGTTGTAATAATCTTTTCTAGTTTCACCTATACAGAATTCATTAAGAGGGATTTGGATATTCATTCCAAATAAGCCACGAATGAACAGACCTGCACCATGGAGTGATTTGAGAAATATTAGGAACATTCAACTCTTCCGACACTTGTTAGCACCTATGAATTTACTTTGGCACAAGAAACTTCCTAGATTGTGAAAGAGAGAAGCAAATGGTTGGCCTTGGTAATTGACCAATGGTATCCTTTCTTGAGATGAAAGCACTGGAAAGCGCTCAACCCCAGTCTCTTGCCAACTGGTCCCCGAGGAGGCCCCTGGTCCACTAATGAATAGCTTGTTCTTACACAGTCGGTTTCCAAACAAATTTAGAAAGAAGTCAAGGAGTAGCCTGGGAGACAGGATCCTGCCATGATTAGAGATGGCACCACAAGGTGTCCAATTCATCTTCCAGAACTTGGCTAATTTGGGATGGGGAACTGCTCCCATGAGAGCTAAGGGAAAGCTCAAATCAGATTGTCAGCACAGAGAACTAGAGAAGAATTTAGGATCTCTTCCTGAAACTTGGTCTCAAAAGAACAAAAGGGACCAGCCAGATGTGGTATTATCTTCTTAATACTTTTAAAAATTTTGAGCCATACTTGTGTTTGGGCCTTGTTCTTGCTAGGCTAGCGCTCCACCACTTGAGCCACACTTCCAACTGTGTTTTTCACAAGTTATTTTTCAGATTAGACTTTACTTCCCACCTAGGCACCTGCCTGAGCTACTATTCACCTTCTTTTTAGGCCTCCCTTCACCTCTGGAGTCACAGATTCCTGAAACACTACCCAGCCCCTCTCTGTGGAGATGGAATCTTGAGGACTTTTCTTCCCAACCTCAAACCTCCCCTGTAGCTTGAAGCATCCAGTGTATACCACTACTGTACTGCCAATTATGGGTTGAGAAGACTCCTGTTGAACTTTTAGAAACAGATTGGCCTTAAACCATGATTCTCTGGATCTCAGCCTCTCAAGCTGCTAGCATTACAACCATGAACCACCCAGCACCAAGCTTTCATAAAAATATTTTATTTTAAATTTTGAGGGAGTCATACTGAGGTTTGAACTCAAGGCCTCATGCCTGGGCAGGTACACTACCATGTAAGCCAATCCACCAACGAAACTTTTTCTTTACCTCTCCTTCACATTAAATTTATTGCTGCTTTGATCATTTCTAAGGCCATGTATATGTCAAATCTTCCCCGCTTTCCAGATCTTTTATGTCAAACTCAGTGTAGAATATCTATAAAGTTCCTTCACCAGCTCCCTAATGATCCTCCCTGCCACTGGCTCCAGATTTTATTCAAGAAGAAATTGAGCAGTGTGAATCTGAGCAAAGTACTAAAACCTCTAATGAGGAAGAACAATGGGGGACAGGCAGAGGGAGGATTCAAGCTGAAGCCCATCAAGTTTAAATCTAAGTTCACAACCTGTAATGTGTGCTTCATCCCCAGACCAAGACTTCACCTACCAGCTCAAATGAATCTCGTTCTTGTGTCATCCTTTAAAATGATGTGCTCTCATGGCCTAGACAGCCAGTTCTTTTTTCAGAGTGATTTTAAAATAGAGCTTTGGTGATCATTTTAAGCTAGCTCCTTTTAAAAGATAAATGGGGGAGGAGGCTCAACTGGTACAGCTATTCACTCAGAATATACTTATGACTAATAGTACAATCAAGAAAATCAGATTTTACATTTCCTTGACTGTAAATTCTAACTCCTAACATATATAGTCCAAAAGTGAAATGAATTAAGAGTACAAAAACTAAAAACCATAGGCTACAATGATACTACCTATTTGTAAAGAATGTTTATAGATAATTAAAAGGTCTACATGGGAAGTCTACATAGACAAACTGAAGTCCTGTGTTCCAGTCTAGAGTTCTTTCATTACATCATACATAGTAGATATGTCTAAAAAATAACTACAGAAAATCCCTGCTATGACTGCCTATTTACTTACAGGCTGCTGATGGTTTCCAAAAGTATTCTCACTCCTCTTCCCTGACCCCCAAGTGACAAAGATTTAGATGCTAATAGGAAAATGAAATGGGGAAGGAAATTGCAGACTAGCTTGATGTTGTACATCCTGGTAAGCTCAGGTAATCTGAATCTTCTATAGATGAAAAACTTGAGAAAACAGTTTTGTAAAACTGAATAAATCATTCAAAATCCACATGCAGAAGAGTAATAGAATTGGGTAGATTTTTATTATTTGTTAATAAATAATAATGTTTATCTTTTGCCAGACCTGGAGCTTGAACTCAAGGACTGGACATTGTTCCTGATCTTTTTTTTTTTACTTGAGGCTAGCACTCTACCACTTGAGACACAGTTCTACTTCTGGCCTTTTTGGTGATTAATTGAAGATAATGCCTCACAGGCTTTCCTGACCAGGCTGGAATCAAACCACATTCCTCAAATCTCAGCCTCATGAGTGGCTAGGATTACAGGTATGAGCTACCTGCACCTGGCTTTTAGGTGAATTTTTGCACTTGAAAATCCACTTTAGCCAGGTGCCAGAAGGTCATGCCTGTAATCCTAGCTACTGAGGGTATCGGAAGTCTGAGGATTGGGAATCAAAATAGAATATCAGAAATATTTCTCAGCTCATTTCAAGCCTGCTATATAAACTTGCAGGCCCTATCCTAGGCAGGGAACATGGAGTGTACAAGGGACAGTAAGAGAAGGGAAGGGATGCATTAGGAAGTCTTGTTTGCACTAGGAGAGACAACAAACTGTACCTCCCACCTGGATCATAGAAAAAGTAGATCATTTGTAGGAGAAGGGAGGTGAAGTCATCACCTAATATTAGGTTTTTGCTTGTGTTGCTGAATCCCTTTGACATTACCAGGCTAGACTTGAAAAGACTATTGTTTTCATTAAGCTGTTCTAAGCCATCTAGTATTGAGAATGAAAAAAAATAGAAAGAACAAAAGAAAAAATAACCAAATTATTCATTTAAAAATCCAAGTCTTTTGATATCATCACTTAGTCTCTGAAAATAAAAATGGTAAATATTACAATTTACTATTGCGGACTTATTGGAGAAGGTAAAAACAGACCCTAGGTTCCATGTCCACATCATACTGTTCAGTCTCTCATTTAGGTGAACGAGTCCACATTTCATTATTCAGCTCTCCTTTCTGTTTAGTTTGTGCTGCTCAATCCCATTTAGCCAATCACAAGTCGCAAAAGTGTGGACGGTGCAGATGACTCTTTTCTTGCCTCTCTCCAAGCAGATTCTCCTTCTTAATTCCTTTCTGAGTGCAAGGTCTGGCCAGACCTCTGGCTCTCCTATAACCCCATGTGCCTGTCCTCCCTACAGATCCTCCCACCATCACAGAGTCCAAGAGCAACGAGGCTACCACGGGGCGACAAGCTTCACTCAAATGCGAGGCTTCGGCGGTGCCTGCACCTGACTTTGAGTGGTACCGGGATGACACCAGGTATGTGTCAAACCCACCATGCCTCAACTCTCAACTTCCCCCTACCATACTGGGGATCCAAAGAGAGCCAATGAAAACCAAGCTTAGTTGTAATTGTGCAGCCCTACACTATACAAGTTTTCCTATTCAGTCTTTCTCTCTCTATTCTCTCTCTCTCTCTCTCTCTCTCTCTCTCTCTCTCTCTCTCTCTCTCTCTCTCTCTCTCTCTCTCTCTTTAATCTCTCTCTGTTCTGTCTATAGTCAGTGTTCCATACAAAGCCCCAACAGAAGAACAAAAACAATAAACTTTGGAACTGTGTCACCCTATTGATATTTTTTTTTCAAGATAATGGTTTTTGAAATGTATCCCAAGGACTTTGAGCCTTCATGAGACTTTTCAGAATGCTTCTTATGAAAAATGCTACAACTTTTTTTCAACATTGTTTTTATCTATTTTATATAACTTGGGCTCCAAGTAGTTTACTTGCAAAAACATCATCCATTATAACCAGTTTTACAAATAGTAGGAGATCAATTGTGTTGGTTATAAATATAAGAACTAGATATATGCTACCGTTTATTTGTGCCAGTCCTGAGGTAGATCTTGGGACCTGGATGCTGCTCTTGAGCATTTTTGCTCAAGGCTAGTGCTCTACTGCTATAACAACAGCTTCACTTCTGACTTTTGCGTGGTTAATTGGATATAAGAATCTCATGGACATTCCTCTCTGAACTGGCACTGAACCATAATCCTCAGATCTCAGCCTACCGACTGGTAGGATTACAAGCAAGAGCCACCAGCACCTGCTCAATATAGGGCCTATAACGCTTAGACTAAAGCTCAAAAATAATAGAAACTGATGAATGTGATGCCATGGGTACTTTCTGCCAGCATGTCTGTCTCATATAGCAAAACCCAGGGCAAATGGAACACATCCATTCCTAAATCATCTCTATTAATGGACATCAGTTCCAATCCTAGGAATTCTGCAGCAACAATGGGGAATTTGCCAGGGAAATCAGTCTCTAATTGATTTCTCTCTCTTTCCCCCCACCCCAGGTAAAAAGATAGGGAAGGAATTACTAAGGTAAAACCTTCATCTATGTTTCTTTTAACTCTTCTGTTTTACCTTCTTAGGATAAACAGTGCCAATGGCCTTGAGATTAAGAGCACGGAGGGCCAGTCCTCCCTGACAGTGACCAACGTCACTGAGGAGCACTATGGCAACTACACCTGCGTGGCTGCCAACAAGCTGGGGGTCACCAATGCCAGCCTAGTCCTTTTCAGTAAGTATGCCAAGGCAGGGCCTAACTCAGCACAATTAAACTGGTAAAGTTCTTGTGAAAACATGAAAATCATTTCCTCATCTATAAAAGGTAAACTTACACTTACAAAAGTAAGAATATACACACTGAAAGAAATCCTTAAGAATTTCAGTCCTGAGGCCTATGGAAGGATTTACAAATGGAAGAACTTTTCTGTGACCTCTTACCTGTTGGTGTGAGTGTTTTTGTTTGTTTCATATAGGCAAATGACTCATATGGCCTTCGTATATGCAAAGGACACATGTGGTGCCCTCTTTAAGAAGCAGAGATGATGTAAGAATCTGTTACTGATGCCTATTAGAAAATACAGTAATGGGAGTGAAATATATATATACATATACATGTATATATGTATATGTATATCTACAGGTATATATACATGTATATACATGTACATGTAGATATATATGTATATCTACATGTAGATACACATGTAGATATACATACACACACACATATATATATATATATATATATATATATATATATATATATATATATATATATATATATATATAATGAGAATGGATAGAAGAGAGTGTTGGGAGAGTTTTGAAAAGAGAATATGATGAGGCACCAGTGGCTCACACCTGTAATCCTAGCTACTCAGGAGGCTGAGATCTGAGAATCATAGTTCAAAACCAGCTGGGGCAGGAAAGACTGTGAGACTCTTATCTCCAACAAACCATCAGAAAACCAGAAGTGGTGCTGTGGCTCAAGTGGTAGAGTGCTAGCCTTGAGCTGAAGAACTGAGGGACAGCACCCAGGCCCAGAGTTCAAGCCCAATGACCAACAAGAGAGGGAGAGAGAGAGAGAAAGGGAGGGAGAGAGAGAGAGAGGATAGAGTGAATGATTATAACATAAAATCTAAATGAGGGGGCCATGGCTACAGAAGGCTTCTATTTAACAGAAGGAAACACTACTTCTCCAGTGTCCTTTTTTGCAGTGGGGATGGATTGGTAGGAAAAACAGCCTGATTGAAGATCAGAGAAGACCCTGAAAGTTGACTCAAAAGTGGTCAGTCATTTCAAAGTGAGATGTTAGTAGTAGACCTCACCTAGAAGTCTTGCTCTTAAACAGAATGTTACACTCAGGACTCAGCCTTCTGCCTTATCAAGCAGCTAGGAGTATAGACATAAACATCTCCTGAGAGATAGAAGAGGAAAATGATAAGACTTGGAATAGCAACTCATTTGTTGAGTTAAAAACAAAAAACAAAAAAACCCCAAAAAGTTAGCAAATGCTGAGTCCCAACATTCATTTAAACCAAATGGCAATGTCTACAAAAATGCACTGTTCTTATTTTGCAATACTATTTTTCTGCACAAGCTCAGTTGGAAAAACTATGGCCAGGATAATATCTTTATCTTGTCTTATTCTGTTTAGATGAAACTTTAAGAACAAAAGATTCTTAGAATAAAAATCAATTTAACAGAGATTGCTCTTAAAATACAATATGAAAATCACTTTAAAACTACTCAAGCTCCAAGAAAAAAAAAATATATATATATATATATATATGTGCACACACACATATAACCAGCACAAACTACCCTAAATTTGGCCTTTAGACTCTCATTCATAACTCTTACTGGCATCAGTCTATGACAAATTGATAGAATGCCTAATGCCAAATGCCAAATCAATATGAAGTTTAAAATGCATATTCCTGTCTGTCTCATAAGGCCAGACATCAGTGCTCTTTGCTTCAGCCAAAGCAATAACCATAGACACTTGGGATCATATATATTAAAATATGTAGCACAATTGATCCCTCACAGTAAGGATTTGACAAGTATGGACAAAAACCAGCCTCAAATATGAATTCAAGATTCTGACAAAGCTAAGAGAACTTAGATAGAACAGCTTACACCTAACAAGAAGGTTTTAAAATGACTGAAGAATAGAAGAAGTGGCTAAACATACAATTGCATTGAATGTGTTTTCCTCATCACATGGAAAATAAGATATATGCTAAGGATAAATAAAATGGTGCCTCTAGACTGAGAAAGATGAAGAGAAAGGAGAGTAGAAAGATGGAAGACTTGGAATCGAGAGAGCAGAGCTTGGACTGGGTGAAAGATAATGACGATAGATGACTGAGGTAGTGAAAGTCAGTCTTGAGACTTATAATGCCACTGTCTTGTCACTAAAGGACTTAATGAAATTATGAAAACATCAAGCTGGATGGGTGCTGGTGGCTCACACCTGTAATACTAGATATTTAAGAGGCTGAGATTTGAGAAGCATGGTTCAAAAGCAACCAATAACCCAAACCATGAAACTCTTATCTCCAATTCACCAGCCAAAAGTCAGAAGTGGAAGTGTCGCTTAAGGGATAAAGTACAAGCTTTGGGCAAAATAGCTTTGCAACATCTCTAGGCCATGAGTTTAAACTTCAGTACTGGCACATCCATACAGGAAGAATTCTGTTAAATTTCTTTTGTAAACTAATAGTCGGGGAACTAGAATGCCCTTGACAATTTGGAAGAAGTCATTCTTAATTATGTATTTCATGGTGCAGTGATTAATGACATGCTATCCCTCAGCGGTCCCACACTGCCCTCTCCACAGCAGCCCTCTCAGGCATTCGTTCCTCATTTAGCTGCATAAATATGCAGCCACATTGGGCTTGGAATTGCATTCCTACCTTCTGGTAAAGTTAATAGATGCTATAGTTACCGAAGACTACAATATAAAAGGTCATTAGGCAAGGAACTATTAAAATATAGAAAAATAATGGGTCAACTGTCCTGTTCATAATTAGACACTAAGCTTAATTTTGAACATTCTAGAGGCAAGGAGAGGGGAAACTTTTGTTCTTTCGCAATAAGAATGGTACCCATGCATCCCAGATGTGGGAGGCACGTCATTCCAACCTCCAGAGCTGAAACCCTAAAGATGAAGCTTTATGGTAGCACAGCTCATTCAGGACCCTAGGGCAGGTGGGGGACAGGGAGAGGAAGAAGGAGAGGAAGTCAGAGATAAAGAAGGGAGGAAGGAAGGAAGGAAGGAAGTTAGGAAGGAAGGAAGGAAGGAAGGAAGGAAGGAAGGAAGGAAGGAAGGAAGGAAGGAAGGAAGGAAGGAAGGAAGGAAGAGAGAAAAGAAAAAGAAAGAGATGGAGAGAGGAAAGGAGAAAATGGAAAGCAAAGGAAAAAGAAAGTGCATATATGGAATGGATTGCCCATTGCTTAGATTCAAGGTAAATGGTGCTGAGGGGAAGAAGGAATCTCCATGCAAGTGTTGTTGGTGGCCCTCTCCCACAGCGCAGTGTCGAGAGGGGGTGTCTGCAGCCTGAGGCCCTGAAGGAGCAGTGTGCTTCAGCAGGGTGCTCTGCTGACCAAGCCAGTTCAGAGTAGATGTGGCAGCTGGTAAGCCACCGCTGCCAGACAGAAGCAGCAGCAGGACCGGACCAGAGCCAGAGCCCCTGAAGAGTTCACGATTATTCAATTATTCATCCTTGGTGGGTCAGCACTTTTTCAGTCAGGCCTACCACGGTGACATGCTGACTGTTTTGCAGTGTTAATTTAAGATCACTTGTCCTTAGCAACGTAATTCATACATACACTTCTCCACTCTCTATTCAAATATTGATCTCCAAAGGGTAGGAGGGGGGGTCAAAATAATTGACCAAGAGTGCAAGAACACATCCTATTGATAATCATTTATTCTTCAGCTACTAGAAGCATTTCTTCCTCATTTTCTTTTTTGTTGGATGTTCTAACACTCTGCCAAGCACTACTTAAGTCTGTGGAGTCAAGTAATGCTTTGTATATATTTTCCTTCATCACTGGGCTCGGTATTACGTTACATATTTTTTCTTAATGTGTCAGCCCACAGTGATAGTATTTTTGGGCAGGGTTTTATCTCCTTAGTCTTTGTCAGACAGGGGAGTGAGTGTGTGTGTGTGTGTGACACAAATGGAGACTTGGATTTCTGGTGATGTCCAGAGAAGATCCATTATCAGATATAACAAAATTTATTTACACCCTGGTGACTGAGGAGTAATCACAAAGGTGTAGGTTCTTCTTGTTTGGGTGCTTATGTTGAGTCAGTGTTAGTGAGAGGGAAAGGGGGAAGAAAAGAGGAGTGATAAGTCATTCTACCAATTGAGTGCTCGCAGCACATTCCATAGTATGTACATATACTTAATGCTTTCCATACACAAACTCATGAAGTCATCATGACAAGCTTGCTGTGTACCCATGACTCCGACATTATAGAACTAGTTCACCTAAGAAAGACAGTGCTTGGGTAGTCTAATTCCAGCGAGAAGGTAAAAATATCAGGAGATATAGCTTGCAGACATTTCATTCCTTTCTTTTCATTTTATGAGGTTTAAAAACTACTGGCTTAAAACTGTTCTTTTCCTTTAGAGCCAAGAGCATTACCTCTGCTACCACCTTCTTCCCTTCTTGTTACCTACCATTAGAATTCTTGGGTCTACTGAATGACTAAAGATTCTCAACTAGTATTTTAGATGAGTAGCTTGAGGGTTCTTTGCACATGGTAAAGAATAGTCTAATCAGGTCCCTCCTCTTTAGAGAAATGTATGGATTAGTAAGGTATTTTCAAGCTCTTCAATACAAAGGGAAGAAATATTTTAAAAAACCTACACTTGACCATGCCATATATAGGAGCTAGGGTTTTTATGAATTTCTTTTTTAATTGTAAAAGATTTCTAACTTATAAACCTATAATTGAGTACATTTTAAATACAATCTAAGCAACTTAACAGTATGAGATTTTATCATAAGAACACACCCTCCCTGGAAATGGTGCTGTAGCTCAAATGGTAGAGCGCTAACCTTGGGCTGAAGAGCTAAGGGACAGCATCAGGCCCAGAGTTCAAGCCCCACGACCAACCAAAAAAAAAAAGAAAGAAAGAAAGGAAGGAAGGAGGAAGGAAGGAAGGACCCCCCCCTGCTTCTTTAGAAATAATTTTAAGTGATTATTTTAGG